TCCAGTCTCGGCCGCAGGCTGCTGAGACTGATGCGCAAGAGTAGCGAGACGGCCGCCAAATGCTGCGGTGATGGAAAAGTGCATTGAGTGTCCGTACTACGAAAGTTCCTTCGAAACTTGCTTTGATTAATGCCAGGTGTTAGGTTGAGTCACCCCGAATCCCCGGGGCCTTCACTCTCGAACATGGCATTGACATGAATTTTCTCCTCTCGATGACCAACATCAATGCTTTTACCCGGCGTCAAGGAGATGGATGGATCCGATGTGTAGGGACATACATGGACTGATTGTAACTATGTGTTGCTCACATAAGCTACACAAGTTCGCACCTTACATGAAGGAGACAAGCCTTTTTTTGGCTACACAGACCGGTCATGCTTTTTTGCTGTGTGGGGTCGAGGCTGGTGTATTTTTATATAGTTGTTGATAAAGTACACACATGATTTAATCGTTTGTTGCTCTTGGTTTTGGTTTTGGTGTTGGCTTCGGCATAGGTTGAACATTTCTCGGTCTTAACAACAAACCTCTTTGTGCCCCTTGTATTCGTTTAACTGCTTTGTCTTCTGTCATAAGCGGTTCTAACGGCGGTACGTCATCAGCGCTTGATTTTGCAGTTGCTACTGACTGCCACTCATCTTTCTCGTCTTTGTTCTCGTCTTTCTTCTCGTCTAATTGTCTTGCCCGTTGTGCTTATAATATTCGTGTAGGTCTGCTATTTGTTCGCTACTAACTCTTTTTCAAACTTGAACGATTTGTTGTTCGTGTTGTTCCTCGGCGTCGTCCATTGTAGCAGTTAGTGTTTGTATTGCTCCGTCTCTTAAACCATCCATTTCATCGTCGTTTGCCATATCAAACTGTTCAACAGTTTTAGGTAAAATGTTTCTGTCTCAAATCTAATGTCCACCTGGGAGGAGTAAACGGTTCCCCCCCCCCTCAACAATGGGGACACCTGGAACAGTATCTTGAGATCCAGTTCAAGCGAGTTTCCATTTGATTTAGTATTGCTAGACTTGAGTTTCCATTTGATTTAGTATTGCTGAAACTTTCTTTTGAGATTTGAAACTCATAGTATTGCTGGAGCTTCCTTTTGAGATTTGGAACTGAATTTCCATTTGATTTAGTATTGGTAGACTTGAGCTTCCATTTGATTCAGTATTGCTGGAGCTTTCTTTTGAGATTTGGAACTGAGTTTCCATTTGCTTTAGTATTGCTGGAGCTTCCTTTTGTTTTTCTTGGGCGGGCCAGCCAACAAGACTTCCATTTGATTTAGTATTGCTGGAGCTTCCTTTTGAGATTTGGAACTGAGTTTCCATTTGATTTAGTATTGGTAGACTTGAGTTTCCATTTGATTTAGTATTGCTGGAGCTTCCTTTTGTTTTTCTTGGGCGGGCCAGCCAACAAGACTTCCATTTGATTTAGTATTGCTGGAGCTTCCTTTTGAGATTTGGAACTGAGTTTCCATTTGATTTAGTATTGGTAGACTTGAGTTTCCATTTGATTTAGTATTGCTGGAGCTTTCTTTTGAGATTTGGAACTGAGTTTCCATTTGCTTTAGTATTGCTGGAGCTTCCTTTTGTTTTTCTTGGGCGGGCCAGCCAACAAGACTATATTTCGGGGGCCCCTGAAATAATGTCAAGTTGGGGGCTGAAGTACTACCCCCTTTATGGGTTTGATTGCGGGCAGGTTTCAACAAGAGACATGTAAGAAAACATGGGTTTGGTCAGGCTGACAGTTTTGGATTTGAGGAGCAGGCCCAAATCTAGCAACACAGCATGACGCATTGCCAGCCTCACCTAGGCTGTGTAATTACTTGACTAGCTAACTGGCAATTGCACTGGGCAGGCTGTGTTTTTCGGGGGGCCAGGCAACAAGACTTTATTTCGGGGGCCCCTGAAAAGAGACATGTAAGAAAACATGGGTTTGGTAAAGCTGACAATTTTGGATTTAAGGAGCAAGGTACCAAAGATCCAAGGACCAGGTGTTGGCTTGACTATCTCTCCTCTCGTTTCTCTCCTTCTTTTCCTTTTTCTTTTTTGTTTGTTTGTTTTTTTTCGGGGGGCGGGGGATGTTGTTTTTGGCGCGGGTGGCGGGCGCTTGTATTTACTCCAGGTGCATTTACTAATGTTTTTGGGCCACCCATTTGTCTTTAACCTGCGTGCATTTATTAATCCTATGTAAACATTACGGTCTTATTTTCATAAGCTGTTCCTAGTGGGCTACCACGAAAATAATCCGCGTTTCTGGGTGTTACATCTCTTGTATTCTTATGTTTATACTTTTAATTTGTAATTTCCTTGACGAGTTCATTATAAGACGGTCTTAATCTTAATTGTGATTTTAGCGTTTTCATCTGTGTATTGTCTAATCTCATTACATAAACTTTTTGAGGTTATATATATATATATGTTTGCTAATTTATTTTATTTTTCAAACTTATAGTTCCTTCTTAACTGATTGATTATATCCTTTTTCTTCTTAATCATTTCCGAATAGTTTTTACCAGCTTCACTTGATGGATCATGTCGTATTTTTCATTTTCCAACCTTTTTATATCTCATTAAACATTGAATTTGCTTCATCTTGATATCTTCTTTTATTTTGAAATTCTATCTGTTCCTTCATTTCTTTCAAATATGTATACTTTGGTTGATGTGCTTCGTTGCCTCCTTCATAATAGTAATGGGCACCAGATTTATACTTTTACTGGGCTTCGTTACAGGATTAAAAAATTGTTTGATGTTGATAATATACCTGCTTTGCCATTCTTTGTAAGTGTTGATGTTATATTTTCAATATCTGACTTGTTCATATAATAATAATTAGATAATATTTTTATTTATCAAATAATTTTACTTGCTAAATTGTTCATTTTCTTTTTGTTTCTATTATCTCCTTCCAGTTTCATATTGTTATAGCGGTCTTTTGCGGGTTCAAATACTTTAGTTGCAGTCTAAATGTTTTTCAATCGTTCCTCTACTTTTCCTCGAACACGCTTCTCTATTTCGTCTTCATCCACTTTGATATTATCTTTAACTTTACTATATACATCTTCTTTAAATTCTTCTACTTGCGTTGGATGCAATACACGCCTTTGTACTGGTTTATCCAAATCAACATCTTTTTTACGCTCGCCTTTACAAACATGAGAATACTTTTAATGTTTTTAAGTAGCTCTGATGTTTTAATGTTTTAGAAGTACAAAAATCATTTAAAAGAAGGTAGTTTAAAATCATACAATCCACTACATCGAGGGCATAGTGAAATGTATAGAAAAATGAAATTCAACAAGAAAAGTCATTATTCAAGCCTAAATATCACAATAAGTTCACTGACGCAGAAGGATTAAACAAAGCATACACAAATGGTAAGGGTTACTATCTAGACAATAATAAGCTATATATGTTGCTGGGACATTTGGTAAGAATAATATTTTATCTACAATTAATGACATTGCTTCTGATATTACAATTCCTTTTGGCTTAAGTTCATACAGTGAAAGGTATGGAGATGATATATACTTGATGAAAACCATAATATATCTGAAGAGATTAGTCATAGTCTTGGTGCATCCGCTTCTGCTAAATATTTACAAAACAACCCTGATAAAAACAAGACAAATAAAAACATTCGTTTGACAACTTACGGCGCTCCGTTCCGTTCAATGTCAAATAAAAGTGATGATAGTTATACCAATTTGAGAAATATATCAGACCCAATATGAATATTAGATAGGGGTGCTATAACTGTTGCTACTGGAAATGTAAACCCATTGATAAATCACGATTACATCACTGGTTATGACGACCCAGGGAAGCAACCAACAGCAGGTAGCGACCCAATCAAAAATATTATGTAAGAGCCTTAACTTTAATATATACATTATTATAGAATGCCTGACAATATTAAAGATATTAAAAACACGATAAATCCAAAAAAAGAAAACCAGTTATGAAAACATTAAGAAAATAGTAGAAGATGAGCCTAATTATAAGATTGAAGAAAACAAATCTAAAGACTATTAAATTAAAAAATGGAAGAAGAAATTATACATCATTCACATTTGAAAACAGATTAGTTTAATAGCAAGATAGCATAATATGTTTTCTATTATTAATTATATAAGTTATGGACAGTTTGGATATTTGAGATGTTCTAGTTGAAAAGAATTGAAGATTTAAATTAAAAGACTGTGGTTCTTATGTTCGTTCAAAAGAAAGAGAAAAACTTCTACCCTTCGTCGGTTTCTACTTATACCGCTGATACAAATTCTGTATTAGATTTATCAATACCGGTTCGCCTAACCAACGGCTTTCGCTTCCTTCTCTATTATTAGGATTTTCATTGGAAAACACTGACAGCAGTGGAAATGCTAATGCTGAACTGCGACCAATATCAACTGGTTCTTTCTTTTCAAGAGTTAGAGTGATGATGGGTGATGTGATGTTGACTGAGGCCGCCTGACTCTCGCCTAAGGCCTTGCATTCAGACTGCTTTCTGGACAATGGACTTTTGTTCTGTGCAAGGGCGTGGTGTTAGCTGGGCACACAAGTTTCCAAATCGGTTTGGGCGGCAGAGCCCCGCAACGTCACGAGCAGGGTATTTAGGCCGGACCTTCGCAATGCACACCCCGACCCTTCCAAACCTTAGGGAAATACGCACATTGTATGCAAAGTCCGCTTTCGGAGCTGGAACGCGGAAATCGCAGCTGCCTAGTTCAATCGTTGGGCGTAGCAGGTGGTTGCGGTCAATTTCTCCGGGGTGTTGTCTCCAAGGGAAAGATTCGACGCCGATGGGTCACGGAGAACGCGGCGAAGTGCTTTTTGCGCCCTTTGGAAAAGTGCTATACCTGTTTGATACACACTACACACGCGCCAGCGACCTGCGGACTCAGTCGCTGTTTCATGCTGCTCCGCGCAGCAACGAGGGTCAACTCAGTCACATGTTGAGTGGAAGCCGTTTTGCGCATGTGCTCATGTTGTTTAGTCACCACTTTGGCCCACAGCAAGTTGTTACATCCATCGTATGCATGGCGGATCCATCAATCGGAATTGGGCGTTGAGTGGGAGGTCTCCATCGCACACGTAATATTATCTATGCAGATTGGCGCGTCATTTTGCAAGACGTGCAAACGTGCCGCGCATGCAACGTGCCAACGCCGCCAAAGAGCCCTCGAAGAACGTTTCGGATGGCAGACAGCTGTGCAGAAAACGCCGGATGGTCCTCTCATGCAGGTAGTTTGTACGCCAATTTGTCCAGAATGTCTCGGACAACGGTGGCAGAAGAAGCCGTTTATTGAAGTGGAAGGCGGGCGTGTCTCTTGCCCAGTCACAGTCGTTCATGAGAGAAAAAAAGGCAGGCCTGCTCTCGGTTTGAACCAATGTGCTGGTTTAGAGCAAGTGTTTTCGACTGTTGAGTTACACATTAGGCATCGCAAGTCACGCGACAGCAAGAAGCATTTGGTTTTGCGCGCACTGGATTTGAATTTGATTGGCGGGCATGTGTACGAGTGGAAACAGCTGGCACGCACGCTGCATCTCATGAAGGATTATGAGAGACACGCGACAAGGCTTGAAGTTCTCGACAAGTCGGATCCACCCATGGTCCTATTGTTGAGGCCAGTGGTCGTGTTTCAGGGAAAGGTGCGAATATTATTGGTGGTCACAGAGGAAGCAAGACTGGGCGGGCGATTGATCGATCGAACCCTGCGCGCACATAGCGCTGTCCAAATGGAAGTTCCGGACGAGCTGCTTGACTTTGTGCAGGGGGTGCATCATTCAGCCTTGTCAAGCAGCTGGCCGGAAGCCCCACTGCAGGTTGATCTCGGGGCAGCAAGCCCACCCGCTTTGGATGTGGATTGGCAAGATGACGACACGGACGAACTGCTTGACTTCGTGCAGGCGGCAGCCCCACTGCAGTTTGATCTCGGGGCTTGCTGCCCACCCGCTTTGGATGTGGATTGGCAAGATGACGACACGGACGAACTGCTTGACTTCGTGCAAGCGGTGCTGCACTCAGCCTTGTCAACCAGCTGGCCGGCAGCCCCACTGCAGGTTGATCTCGGGGCTTGCTGCCCACCCGCTTTGGATGTGGATTGGCAAGATGGCGACACGGACGAACGGCTTGACTTCGTGCAGGCGGTGCAGCATTCAGCCTTGTCAAACAGCTGGCCGGCAGCCCCACTGCAGGTTGATCTTGGGGCTTGCTGCCCACCCGCTTTGGATGTGGATTGGCAAGACGACACGGACGAACTGCTTGACTTCGTGCAGGCGGTGCAGCATTCAGCCTTGTCAAGAAGCTGGCCGGCAGCCCCACTGCAGGTTGATCTCGGGGCTTGCTGCCCACCCGCTTTGGATGCTGATTGGCAAGACGACGACACGGACGAACTGCTTGACTTCGTGCAAGCGGCGCAGCGCTCAGCATTGTCAACCAGCTGGCCGGCAGCCCCACTGCAGGTTGATCTTGGGGCTTGCTGCCCACCCGCTTTGGATGTGGATTGGCAAGATGGCGACACGGACGAACGACTTGACTTCGTGCAGGCGGTGCAGCATTCAGCCTTGTCAAACAGCTGGCCGGCAGCCCCACTGCAGGTTGATCTCGGGGCTTGCTGCCCGCCCGCTTTGGATGTGGATTGGCAAGATGATGACACGAACGAACTGCTTGACTTCGTGCAGGCGGTGCAGCATTCAGTCTTGTCAAACAGCTGGCCGGCAGCCCCGCTGCAGGTTGATCTCGCAGCTTGCTGCCCACCCGCTTTGGATGTTGGTTGGCAAGATGACGACACGGACGAACTGCTTGACTTCGTGCAGGCGGTGCAGCATTCAGTCTTGTCAAACAGCTGGCCGGCAGCCCCGCTGCAGGTTGATCTCGGGGCTTGCTACCCACCCGCTTTGGATGTGGATTGGCAAGATGACGACACGGACGAGCTGCTTGACTTGGCGCAGGCGGTGCAGCATTCAGCCTTGTCAAACAGCTGGCCGGCAGCCCCACTGCAGGTTGATCTCGGGGCTTGTTGCCCACCCGCTTTGGATGTGGATTGGCAAGATGACGACACGGACGAACTGCTTGACTTCGTGCAGGCGGTGCAGTATTCCGCCTTGTCAAGCAGCTGGCCGGCAGGCCCGCTGCAGGTTGATCTCGGGGCTTGCTGCCCACCCGCTTTGGATGTGGGTTGGCGCAACGACGACGAAAGCAAGCTGCTTGTCTCGGTGCAGGAGATGCATCATTCTGCCTTGTCAAACAGCTGGCCGGCAGCCCCACTGCAGGTTGATCTCGGGGCTTGCTGCCCACCCGCTTTGGATGTGGGTTGGCAAGATGACGACACGGACGAACGGCCTGACTTCGTGCAGGCGGTGCAGCGTTCAGCCTTGTCAAACAGCTGGCCGGCAGCCCCACTGCAGGTTGATCTTGGGGCTTGCTGCCCACCCGCTTTGGATGTGGATTGGCAAGATAACGACACGGACGAACTGCTTGACTTCGTGCAGGCGGTGCAGCATTCAGCCTTGTCAAACAGCTGGCCGGCAGCCCCACTGCAGGTTGATCTCGGGGCTTGCTGCCCACCCGCTTTGGATGTGGGTGGGCAAGATGACGACACGGACGAACGGCTTGACTTCGTGCAGGCGGTGCTGCACTCAGTGTTGTCAACCAGCTGGCCGGCAGCCCCACTGCAGGTTGATCTCGGGGCTTGCTGCCCACCCGCTTTGGATGTGGATTGGCAAGATGACGACACGGACGAACGGCTTGACTTCGTGCAGGCGGTGCAGCGTTCAGCCTCGTCAAACAGCTGGCCGGCAGCCCCGCTGCAGGTTGATCTCGGGGCTTGCTACCCACCCGCTTTGGATGTGGATTGGCAAGATGACGACACGGACGAACTGCTTGACTTCGTGCAGGCGGTGCAGCATTCAGCCTTGTCAACCAGCTGGCCGGCAGCCCCGCTGCAGGTTGATCTCGGGGCTTGCTGCCCACCTGCCTTGGATGTGGATTGGAAAGCCGGCGATGCAGACGCGTTGCTTGATTTGGTGCAGGAGATGCAGCGTGTTGCACTGTGGAACATTTGGCCGGCAGCGCCGCTGCAGGCTGAGCTTGGGGCTTGGTTGTCTCCTGGTCTTGATTTTAACTGGCGCAAAGACAGCGATCTTGGGCAGTGTTCGATTGATTTAACGCAAGCCTGGTGCACTGTGACACTTACTTGGGGGCATGGCGGCAGATTTAAGTCTGACATGGACTTGCACTCTTGGATAGGTGGCCAACACCTTTACTATGCCAGAAGGACGCTGGGTTGCTGCCAGCTGGACTTTGATGCAAATGCCTTTGAGACAGATTTGCAAGAGCATCCTGCAGAGAGGCTTGCCCTGAATGAGGCAGGGCATGGGGGAGAGGTACACATTCTTCCATCGCACGCCTTTCATGTCCCCCAAGGCCGGCACGTTTCCCATCCGGGTGGACAATTACAAGAACCGTGACCAGAGCGACGTGCCATTCGAGGCAGTTGTAGACCTTGCTTGTCTCAGGGTTGAAGCACTTTGGCAGAAGTTGCCTTAGAGCAAAATTGTTTTCAGAGCTGCTTGCGGGCTTCAGGTTGTGGTAGAAAATCCTGACAAGGTCATCATCAGAGGCCTCCGCGGCAGTGAGGGGAGTCTGCCTCGCAACGCTTTGCCAGGCTTGCCCAAGGGGCAAGGCCGGCTTTGCACCATCGAAGCGAAGGCGCAAGCGATGCAGTTTGCCAGTCAGACGCAGTAAGAAGTTGAGCCACAGGAAGGGAAGCGCAGAAAGGTGAAGGATCAGAAGAACAGTAAGGCAATGAGGGGCCAAAATAAGAAGAAAGAAAAGCGGCGTCCTTGCTTTGAAGGGGACGACGAGGCGCCGCTTGCCATCAGATGCTTGCAAGCATTCTGTGAGCATTGAGCCAACTTGCGCACTTGTGTTTCGAAGAGGTACAGCCTGGAGAGGAGGAGGCCTCAGTTTCCACACGCGTGCGTCTCAACATAGGGGGCTCCTGCTTGCAAGGACCTAAGGGGCAATAATGTGGCCTCCCTCCATTTTGAGAGACCGCACGTGTACATTTTGCGACAGGATGTTGCAAGGGTCATGTGTCGTTCTGTGGGCAGCGGTGGGTCAGGAGTCGGAGGACAAGGCCACAGTTTCCGCGCGCGTGCTGTCTTGAGAGTCAGCAGGCCTCACGGCATCAAACCTGAGAGCCTTTGCGTGGCACTGCATACATTGCAAACGCTCTGGATTTGATGCAACGAGTTTTCTGTTAGATGGCGCCGTAATTTTCTACACAATACACCCCCCACCCATAGCTGCAAAACCCGCCCATCTCTGACTTGTGCATGCTTGCGCGCTTTATGTGTGGTGCTTTCAACGGAGGCGCGACATTAAGTTGACTTGAGAATGCTAAAGCTGCTGAAGGCATTGGCCACCAGTTTGGAAGCCTGTTCTTTGCCACCCTGCGTTACAGCATCGTGACTTACCCGCTTCCCCAGCGGTGAACAACGAGCAACTGCACCTCATTCATTCCCATTCGTACAACTACGATCAGAGGCGTAATGGATTCTTCCGGAAGCCCAGGCACGGGTAATAGCAGTTCTACAAGCTCTGCTAACATGATTGCAGCTCCAGCAATCGGGGACTCCCCCGACACGCAACAAAGTGCGAGTTCTGGTATAAGCCGTGATCATTCAAATTCATCCTGGAGGAATGTTAGTCATACTCTGTGGTCCAAGGACGAGAATACCAAGGAGGAATTTGAGAAGCGTGAAGAGTCCGGCGAGGAAGGGGATTGATCGATCTAAGTCTCCATCGAGTTCGACTCCTAACAAGGTCAAAGCTTTTTGGAACATGGTGGCATTGCAAGCATCATATGAGAAGCTTAAGCAAGATGACATTGGCAGTGAACACCGTATTCAAGAGCTGGAAAGAAAGGCAAACATGTCCGAACAACATTTCGTGAAGATCTACGCTGAGCATGGTGAAGAAGCAAAGCGGAAGCTCATGGAATACGAAAAGATGTGTGATCATCTGTCTGCGACAGTGGGACAACTTGAAAGCCAACTTCGCTATGAAGAAGAGAGTGGAAGAGATCAACCATGCTGCGTCGGCCAAGGTCAATTCAGGCGAGGATGAACAGAGACATGGTGAATGAGGAAGACATGGTAAGAGATTTCAACTGGGGAGCGCACTACAACCTGCAGTTGCTATGGAAGATGAGAATCAAGAGGCGCTTGTGAGAAGGGTGAACGATGCCATCAGATATGCCAAACAAGAGGCTACCCGTGCCCGAATAAGTCTTCATGAAAGGGATGAGGCTTAGTCAGATTCATGAAGGGCAGACTCTTCAAGGTATCATCAGCCGGAAGAACTATGACTATGACAAAATGGCGAGTGAAAAGCATCAAACAAGAGCTGATCGAAGAACGAACTGGATCCCGCGATTATCACGCTTACATGGAGGGTCTTGAAGATGAGAACAAGTGTACAGGACGAACTGGAATCTGCGGAACATCATGGTCGTGGACGAGCTCTACTGAGGGGTGACCCGGGCAAGGCGAGTAGCACACGCAACAAGTCTAAAGCTCGTAAGGGCGTTGTAGAAGACGAACCGCGTGGGCGTGAACCTGCGGCTGTCAGCTAGTCCCTTACAAAGCTAGGGTTACCGAACCAAGTTCCCGGGCGTGAGCCGACGAACACGGGCGCAGTAGATTATAGCCTTGGCCCAAGTTCTGTTTTGTTTCCCGTTTATCAAGATCCAATGATACAGGCATCGACATTCTTCATGGAGCAATAGGTTCCGTTCCGGGGAATAGTCAACTTTCTGGCGGAAACTCTGATGGTTGCCACGGCGGGAGAAGCACCAACACGTATTCTGGTGGGGTGTTTGGTGGTTTGCTGGGAGGTCGTGGACGCGTGCCCGACCTGTCACATTGGGGGGAGGTCCTCCGGATCCTCCAGATGACGATGACGACGACGAAGATGATGACGAGGATGATGAAGAAGAGTCGTCGGAAGATGAAGGAGACAGAAGGATTTCGCGAAAAGAAGCTGAGAAGGTGACACAGTTCCTCCATACGGAGTTGGGCAGTTGGTGGCTGGGCTGGTCTGGCTGGCGTGCGCCTTCACGATCAATCCTGACATTGACTGGCTAGCGGGTTCAGGCGGTGAAAGATTCGCGATGATGGATATCAAATTGGTATTGGTGTTACAGACGATGCTTCGAAATGCACCTCACGATGCCAAGGATGTGGCTCATGACGCGCGAGCGACGGCAACGGGAGCCTCGATCAAGATCATTGCCATAATCCTGCAATCCTTCAGGTCAAGTGACAGGTCCGACTTGATGTACACAATCGAGCATCGAGTGTCCGGGAGACAAGAACATGTCAACGTTTCGTAACAAGTGGTACGATATCCTTCTCAACATGCCAGCGGAGGACAATCCAAGGGAGATTACGCTGCGGGATATCCTGTACCTGAAGATCAAGAACAGCAAGAAGGTGGAGTTTGGTCCCAACGCTTACGCGAGACTACCAGACTCTCACTTATCGATTCTTAGTAGGGTTGTTTGATTGACAACTTCGAACCAAGCGTGAAGAATTCGTATTGGACATGAAAGAGAAATCGGTCAAGAACATGCTGAAGAGCGAGAAGAGTGCCGCTCCAGCCAAGCCCAAGAAGGGTCAGAAGGATAAGAAGGGCGATGGCGATCCTCTTGCTGCACCTGTGTTGCCGAAGGCCAAAGCGAAAGATCACGAGAAGAAAGACAAGAAGGGGAAAGGCGGTGGAAAAGGCAAAAGACGAGAAGGAAGGAAAGAACTACCGTGTGTATACCGTTTCACCAAAGAAGGAGGATGTCTCAAAGGGAAAGATTGTCAATACTCCCACTGCCAAAAGCACAAGGCAAGCTGCGCAACAAAGGCAAGGAGAAAGGGGGTGGCGTGTCCACACCTCGTCACCATCTCCCGGCGGAGGTGGAGTATGCTACGCATGGAAGGAAGGGAAGTGCAGCTCCTAAGGCTTCCGCTCCAGCGCAGAGCATTGAACCCTGGTAAGTGGCAAAGACTAAAACCTGCGGCCCCCTGGTGGTTTAATTTTGACCTATACCCACATCGCAATGCCCGCTCTCGCTATCATGGCTTCAGAATGCAAAAAGGATGACAACGTTGTCGAAGAAAGCGAAGCCGAAACAGATCATGACCGTGGCGCCGAGGACGCCGTGAGCGAGTCATCACGGTGGTCTGGAGAAACTGTGGCCCCCCGAGAGACACGATGTCCCACAAGATCCTTGACAATGACGAGGAACGAGGTGGAACACCTAAAGGGCGAAGATGAGCAGCGGGCATCGAATTCCTGGTGGCGCCGGGGCGGACACAAGATGGACCCGCAACGGAAGACAACATCCATCAATCCCAAGACCTTCAAGACGTTCGATCATCGGCGACTATTGGCTTATAGTTGCAACAAGGCTTTGCTCAGGGCCGAGATTATGAGCGAGGTTGCCAAAAACGTATACAGAACGCATCGTCTTGTGTGACAGGCGCAGCACTTTGGCAATGTTGGAGCACGGTTTTCGCAAATCCCATTGGCACGGACGCGCGAACTGTCACGTGCCAATTTCGTGGCAGGCGCAGCACGCACAGATTTCCTGGCAGGCGCAGCACTTTCTTCAGGTCAGGTACAGCTTTCGCGGCAGGCGCAACACTTTCTTAAGGCCAGCGACAGATTTAGTGGCAGGCGCAGCACTTTCGTAAGGTCAGGTGCAGATTTCGTGACAGGCGCGGCACTTTTTGGTCCGGTGCAGGTTTCGTGGCAGGCGCAGCACTTTCTTTTGGTCGGGTACAGATTTCGTGGCAGGCGCAGCGCTTTCTTAAGCCCAGAACATCGCAACTTTTAAGTACGCGAGTAGTAACTTAGTACGCGAGGCACACTCCTGCAGCTGCGGCTGGAAAGTCGCAACTTTTAAGTACGGAAGTAGTACGCGAAGTACACTTTTCCAGCTGAGACAGATAGATAGATAGGTAACTAAATTGATAGATGGATAGATAGGTAGACCCTGAGCATCCGATCTTGATTACAATCAATATTTTGATTTTGGGGGGTCGCAGAATCAATTCAGGATATTGATTCTGAGCATGCTAAAATCAATTCTGCGCAGCCTCTATTTTACAACACTAAATCAACTGTCAAAACCAAAAATGGAATCAAGAATGAGATCAAAATTGGGATCAATATTGGGATCAATATTATGACTCATTCCGCATGTTTTTCTCTTCAGGCTGCACATAGATATGTGACCCTATAGCTTTTCCAAGCGCGCAGCTTTTCCAAGCTGGTGGAGCAGATCTATAATCAGGTTTCGAGTTTGGGAAATCCGTAGGTGTTTTTGGCCCGCAGATTTCTGAAAGATAGAACATCCGTTTTCTACGTTAGAACATCCTAGGATTTCGAAAGATACAACATGTCGGCACGTGCAAAAATGTATAAACCACCCTATTATTTCTGACCAGCTGCAGGTTTCCTAAAGATAGAACATGCCGTAAAAACACCTTGCACACACCCTGAGTTTGATGCCGAGTACACATGTTCATGTCTATATCTCGATGAGAATATGCATGGTTTACAAGATAGAATATGGCTTAGATTGACAATTATTGGACATCATTGGACTAGCTGTTGCTTGTCGTAGTCCCCAAGCAAACTATTTGGGGACATATCATCAACCGTAGCAGATTATTTGGGTCAACACACGACCAAACACTTGAGACACACTCTTACTGAGCTATGTTCTATCTTTGGGGAACCTGGAATTTGCAATCGTTTTGAAGCGTTCTAACCATGTACCACAAAGCGTCATTTGCTGCCAACATGTTGGAAGCTAGTGTTCCAAGCCAACTATTTGCGGGCGTATCAAAAATGACCCAAAGTCTTTGGCGGGTCACAGGATCAATCCACTTGACAGACGCTCTGGCTTGGCCATGTTCTATCCTGGAATTTGCCAGCTAACGATGTATTTACCGCAAAGCGTCGTTTTGCTGCCTGATCACTGGTGTCGGTGATCAACCCGAAGCAAAACATATATACAAGGCTCAGGCCCGTCGCTATACCCAACATGACGCAAAGTCTTTGGCGGATCACATG